AGTTACTGTGTCATCATACTATCAAAAGATTAGAAACCTTCAGGTCCTAATAGTCAACTTATTAAATAAATTATTCTACTTTAATATATTTGAACATCATGCAAATGTGAAAAAAATTAGATAGCTCTCTCTGTATATAATATGAAATGTGCTAATATTGAGAGGTAATATAATACAGTAGTATAGTATCCTTTTGGAGTCAAACTGCTTGGGTTTCAATCCAGCCTCTGACATGTACTTGCTAAGTGATCTTCAGCAAGTTACTTAACCTCCTTCTGCCTCAATTTCTTCTACTGTAAACTTGTGATAATACTCATAGGATTTATGTGTAGATTAAAAGAGTTAAGTCATGCCAAGCATTGAAAACAATACCAAGCACATAATTAGTATTCAGTAATTGTTAGCTACAATAAAAGGAAAATTTCTACAACATATTTCTAATGGAAAAAGCAAAGTCCAGAACAGTATAGTATGTTACCATTTGTACGAAAAATAAAGTAAATATACGTCTACAAAAGTAAAGACTCTCTGGAAGCGTAACAGTGATTCCTTCTGGAAGAGATCTGGGTAACTGCAGGACACAGAAAAAGGAGAAATGTACTCTCCTCTTCATATTTTTATGTAAATTTTTAATTTTGTACCATGCATTTGTATTAACTATTCAAATAAAAATTAAAATTAATTTTAAATCAGTAATTAGTAATAAACACTTGGAAATTAAGAAAATGTGCATTTCAAACACAATTATAACGCCAGGTAAAAAATAAACCAATCAAACTAATTTGGTTTTTTGATAAACTTTGCTTCTTTGCAGAATCACCAAAGTAACAGTTGCCCTTGTCTTTGTCATTTCTTATCTACTTTCGTAACTCTTACTTTTTGCCTTCCCCTGTTCATCTTTTCGTGGCCTCACGGATATCATCCTTTATCATCTACAGTATATTTTGATAGACTATCTTATGCGTGCTTTTCTTTTCCAAAGCTCTTATTATATTTATTGAGTTTTTTATTTATGATAGGAAGACAGTGGAAAAGGAAGGGGAGACCAAATCATCATTTGATTTCAGGCCAACAAATGAATAAATGCTTGACACACAAATATTTGTGAACACTGCATATGTATACACACACATTTTATCTTTTCAAGGACATATAAAATCTGTTCTCATATTTTAAGAACACAATCATATGCATTTCAAAATGGTATATACTGTTGGAAAAATCCTTTAAAAATCAAAGTGTGATTTGAAAAGTTTTCCATGTAAGCTCCTGAGTCAGACTGTCTGCCACTTAGCTGTGTTACCGAGTAAGCTTTTTAACCTTCCTGTCACTCAGTTCCTCATCTGTGAACTAGTATTAATAAAAGAACCAAACACTGGGGCATAATACGAATACACTGAGAGAGGCAATAAGTGCACAAGATTTTAAACAATGCTTGAGCCATAGGAAGTGCTTAATAAATTTTAATAATAATAATTGCAATTATTATTATTATAAAAAGCAGTGAAAGCAGGTAGGCTAGTTGGGAATGTTTGGCTAGAAAGTGTATGGTGTGACTAATTATTTTTTAATGAAATTAATCTAAAACCATCTTAACCAATTATTAAATCAAGGATATCATCAGAAAAGATTATATGCCATATTATTTAACAATAAAGAATTTTTATTTCCAGAAGGACATGCAAATATATATACAAAATGAGTGCTTTATTTTTTTATTTTAGATTTCTTCAAAGAATTATTTTCTTAATATCTGATGCTCTTTATTTTTTAATATTTTTCCTAATTCGGGCTACAAAAAAATTCAACTAATAGAATGAGAGTAATAATTAGTATCCTGGCCAATGGATATCAAAGTTATTTAATCCCTGGAGAAATTCCATAACATTTTCTATGTTATATCACCATAAAAATATTTTTGAAAATTCTTCCAGTATCAAATAACTGCTTGGAGGTATACTGTTCCAACCTCCCTTTTTTGTATTGAAATATTCCTTAAAAAGCTTCAAAGACTGGAACTGCAAAAGAGCTGACTCAGCAATCTTGAAGAAATATAAAATATAGTCTAATGATAAAGAGTTAATTTTCTGGAAGTAGTTGAAGAAAGTACATTTCTTCCTCAAAATTCTTTGAGGAAATTATTCCAGTAAAATGCAACGTTTCTCACTTAGCTAATGGATCAGAATCTCTGGGTGTAAGGTGCAGAAATCTGTACTTTATACAAGCCCCCAGGCAATTTTTCATACACGGTCATTTTAGAACCACTGGGGAATAATGAAACAGAAAGGGTTAGTTTAAAAAACCCACTCTGTGTAAGAGGTGAAACTTGAGTAAATTTCAAGAAGGGTAAGAACATCAAGTGGTAGGGAGGAGTGAAGTAGTTACTCAAACCCAAAGGGATGGTATGTGAGATAACTCAGTTTCAAGAGAGACATGTTTCAGCATCCTAGGCATACAGACATAACCATGCCTGGCCAGAGTAAGCAGCAGGACACAACAGATGAACAGGACTGTCAACAAAAACGGCTGTTAATTAGAACACCTACTTTCATTCTTGTATTTCTTACCCCAGTTTCTAAAAAAAAATTTTTTTCATTACCCACTCTGGAAACATAAGCCTCCCTTTTAAAGTAGTAGAATACTAGCAGAGAAGAGAACCAAAACAACGTTAAGTAAAGGCAGGTACTTTTGTTTTCAATTCATAAGAAATATAAAAAAAAAAGTAAAAAGGTAAAAAGTCATTTTGGCTTATGTACTAGATTATTATAACCAAACATTTATAAAGATAGAACTTTCATATAAGGGAGATTTTCTTTCAAGACAGCTAACCAAAATAAACAATTATCCAAATTTAGAAATTTTTATGGAGTTAAAGAATGTAAAATAAGAAATTTAAACTAATTTTTCCAGGATTAATTCTAATGTAATTGGTCAGTTTCCACATGTGTAAAATGACAGTTTGAGACGAGATGGTTTCTAAAGTCCTGTCCAGTTCAAATTCTAAAATTGTATGATATACAAATTCCTCAAGCTTTGAATTAAATAGACAAAGTTGTTAAAAAAAAAAAAAAAACTCTAAGCTTATTCTGATCATTCAAAATGTTAGATTTGATAGTTGCATCCTGTAAACAATTCAGCTATAGTTCCTGTTTAGTATGTGCTATGAACAAATGAAGGACAAAAATAACTATTTTCTCTTACTTTCATTGCCAATATTAATAGCATATAACATAGCTTCATACAGAGAACAAATTATAAAGGCCCTATAGTTATAGTACCCTGAAAGTCTTATGAAAATAAGAGACACATAATTAGCCAACCAGCTAATTATTATGCCAAACACAACTCAATGATGATTAATCTTAACTTCTGAAATATTTAAATTTAACTGAAAACATTGAGATATTTACCTATCATGACAAACAAGCAGCACTACTTTATAATCTGAATAGCACAGTACTTTCTTTTGGTTAAATTGGAAAAACATTTCCATGGTACTCTTCCACAGTAATTCTGCCATTCTTACTATGTGCATTACGTATTTTTCATGTTATAGTAAGAAGGATGCACTACACAGAAGTATCCATGGGGACAAGATTTTATCTATACTGAAATTAAATCTGGGATAAGGAAGCTTTATCATAATGGAGTCTTACAGAGAACGCGTATTTCTCAATGTGAGATGATACAAAAATAGAGGAAGTTTGCTTCCTTAGAAAGATTCTCCATAATAATGAACTTTATTTTTAAGTTAAGGGATGGACAAATCTCCTTACTATTTAAAGGACAGATAAAGCAAGCACAACAGTCTAAGAATAAATTTTGCTTCTATATGAAAGAGAAGTAGTCTTAAAACCTAAGTAACTTTTATGGGGCATGGGAAACAAAACTAGGAGACAAAAAGAAGTAATCACAATATAAAACATTTACCATTAAAAACTCATACCCGTCAGGCTGACTTTGCCGTCATACTTGCCATTTTTACCGACTAGTCTGACCAAGAACCCTATCTTTAAGAATAACTTTAAACTCATCCATATTTATGTTAATGCAACAACACTATAGTAGCACAACTGATACTACAGATCAGTGATCTGGAAGACAAAACTTTCAGCAAATTGGAGCCCTGGTGGCACAGTGGTGAAGAGCTAGGCTGCTAACCAAGAGGTCAGCAGTTTGAATCCACCAACTGCTATCTTGGGCTGTTCTACTCTGTCCTAGGGTCGCTAAGAGCAACGGGGTGTTGTTGTTGTTGTTTTTTATCAGCAAATTAGCAACCACACCCTTAAAAGGAGGAGGTAGAGTATTGACTCAGGCTGATTGTGATCCATTAACTTCCATAAACGGCGGCTTTCTTTTAAAAGTCATTACTTCATTGCCTGGAACTAGCAAGTTCGTTTTGGAATATAACAGGTTTTGTAAACATTGTCTCACAATAAAGCTAACGACATTACCTAAGTCTGATACAGAATCAATGCTGCGGAAAGCACCATATATTAAAGTGAAACTGTGTCTTAGTTATCTAACGATTGTTGTTAGGTGCAGTGGAGTCGGTTCCAACTCATAGCGACCCTATGTACAACAGAACCAAACACTGCCTGACCCTGCGCCATCCCACAATCTAACGATTAACTAGGGAAAATTCACTTCCCCTGTGCATCACAGGAGTTAAACCAATTTAAAAATTCAACCAACGCTCAATGATAACGTATTACTTCACAAAAAACGTTTCCTTTGGATTCTACGAAAGGCACTGCTATTAAAACACAGTTTAACGGCTAAGTCTGCAGGTTTCCACTGATCACTTAATATTTAAAAACCTAGAAAGGGCCTGTTGGCGTGTACTGTGAAAACCTATGGAAAGAGGTTTGGGCCCGGAACGTCCAATTAAGAGTAACTGTAGACAGCAAGGGGAAACTTCGAGTTTCTGTTAACCCACCACTGACTCCGTTATCTCTAACTCCCCGCAGGACTAACGGGGCGAGGAGAGGGGACCTTACCTGCCAGCGGCCATAGGTGAGAAGGACCATGGAAATGGGGATGGCGGTGCCGGACATGGCATGGGTAGAGGGCATGCTGTACTCGGAGTTGTAGAAGACCTCCAACTTGACCACCGGCGGCGAGGCAGGCCGCGGCCAACGGATGATGTCCTTGGTGCACTGGCCCAGGTACATGACCAGCACCCAGATGACCACGAGTCTCCGGCCCACCAGGGGGTCCAGGTTCCAGATCCAGAAGGGGAAGAAAGTGACGTAAAAGAGTTCGTTGCCCAGCTCCGTGCCGAAGGTGAACAGGTAGTACAGTGGCCAGTTGCTCACTTGGGCCAGCTGGCCCTCCTCGCCGGTCAGGGAGTTGCGACGCAGAGCACCCGCGCGCCGCGACGGAGCGGGGCCCAGCTCGGCCGCCAACCCGTTCCGCACGCCGTTGGGGGCGCCGCCGCCGCCGCCCAGCTTGGCTGGGCACTGATTGAGGTCGCTCCCGGGCGGCTGGGGGCCCCCGGGTGGCCCTGGCTGTCGCCCTCGCCGCCGGGAGCCTCCGGTTAGTCGTGCCTCCGCCTCTTCGTCATCCTCCCTCCGGTCAGCAGAGGCTGCGGCGGAACCGCTTGGCAGCGCTTCCACCCCGCACAGCTGCTGGAAACGGGCCACCTTCTGTGGCTCCTGCAAACGGCTCGCCAGCCGAGCCAGGCGCTGCCTCAGCGACATGATAACGGGACTCGCGCGGCCGGCTGACTGGTGGACCGCAGCGGGAGGGCGGGACAGCACCCGGCGCGGCCCCGAACTGTCCCCACGCGCCGGGGCGGCAACAGAAGCACCGGCGCCTGACGCGGCCAGCTCAGCTCGGCTCCGCCGAGTGACGGCGCCACAGGCCGCTACAGCCGCTGCGCGCCCCTCCTCCGCTGTGCGCCCGCGCCCCGCGCGCCCCTCCTTCCTCACACGCCCGCGCCTCGCCACCGCCCGCGGCCTCTACGCGCCGGCGCGCACTGCGCCCCGCCCCGCCCCCGCGCTCCTCTCCCGGAGGGAGCCAGACTGAAAGGGGGTGCGCGTTCGACCGTCGCCGTGAGGTGCCCTGTAATACTCACCTGGCGTCACCGCGCTCGGTTGGTCGGTGTTCTACCCAGGCGTTGCGTGTCCCCCCTCCCCACTCTCTCCCTGCAGGCTGGTGTTGCTGGTTTCTCTCTGCTGGACGTTGACTTGGAGGGGCCAAGATCTGGTGCCAGCTTTGACAGTGCGGCCAAACACCGGACATCCGCTGGCACAGAATCAAATGGTGAATGATGAATGGAGGCCAAGTAACCATGTGCCCTGAATCGTTCGACTCAAGTAATTACAAGTAATTACAGACCTCGGTCGCTAAGAGTTCGGAATCTACTCCACGGCAGTGGGTTTTGGTTTTCTGACGGTTGGTGTCTGGAAAACCACGTGCCAGATGATTCGTTGTGGCAAGATTAGACAAATCCCAGGACAGGGCTAGGGTATATGATCGGTTAAACTAACAGCTGTAGGCTACGAAAGTAAACCCAGTCACCTACATGTTCAAAATACTGTGTCACTGATCAAATATTTTGGCATAAATTAAGGGATTAGAAAGTTATGATTGACTTACCTTGAATTTCCTTTTTAATAAATGCTAATAGCTAGAGGCCTTGCACAGAAGAAATGTAGTTGGTAGGTGAATGCACTATATAAAGTTTTGAATTTGATAAGGCTAGTTTAGAGACTTCTGTATCTAATCTGACTCCTAGATAGAGCCCCTAGATAGGAGAGTTCTCTGAACTCTTTAACTCTAGGAAGTTATTTCTGGTAAGGTGAACATCTATAATGAAAGACTAAACTACTTCCAAGAAACAGGCTGGAAAATTTCCCTTCCCTTAAGTCATTAAAAACATTTTTATTTCCCAAGGAGGTTACTCTTCCCCTTCCATTCCACTTGCTAAGCAGGGCCATGGAAAGATGAATAAGTCATCACATCCCTGCTCTGAAGGAGTTCACAGTATAAAGGGGAAACACGAATAGATAGGTCCACCTCTAGAATACAGAACAGATGCTAAATGCTAGAATAGAGATTTGAACAATGTGCCCTGGAAATGAGGAGAAGCAACTTTTGACTAGGGGCAGCAAGAAGGGTGTTAAGATGTGATCCTGCTGATCTGGATCTTGTTGTTAGTTGCCTTGTGGTCGGCCCCGACTCATGATGACCTCATGAGTAACAGAACTAGGCTGTGCCTGGTTCTGTGCCATCTCCATTATTTTTGATATGTTTGAGTTCATTGTTGAGGCTATTGTGTCAAGCTGGATCTTAAAGAGCAACATTTGATTAGGTACAGAAGTCCACCTTAGGAAGAGAGAAAATGAACAAAGACGGGATGGGAATGAGCAAAGATGTATTTGGTAAACAATTAATAGTCCATAGAATACAGAGTAGGAAGGGTAATTTGTTGGAAAGGGAGTCACTATGAGTCACAAATAGACTCAACAGGACCTAACAACAAGGAAGGATACAACTAGATTGTAAAAACCTTGAATGCCATGCTAGGCATTTTATTTATTCAGGTACTTTAAATTGTGAATAAGTGATTGGCAGTGCTTTTCCATGAAATCTCACATTTGATTGCAAGCTTTCTGACTGTATTTTGTTGTACTTCTAAAGAAAACATCTTTTTAGGGAATGCTGAACTTTCTACTTAAATCTTTAGATCTCCTTTAACTAGTTGATTCCCTAACTTTTCCTACATGGAAATTTCAAGGATCTGAAAATTTGTATATATTACAAGTGAAACAGATGTAGCTGTTTCAAGATTATTTTTTTTTTTCTTACTCTGCCTTTTTTTTTTTAAATTGTGCTTTAGATGAAGGTTTATAGAGCAAATTAGTTTCTCATTAAACAATTAATACACATATTGTTTTGTGACATTGGTTGCCAACCCTGTGACGTGTCAGCCCTCTCCGCTTCTCAACCCTGGGTTCCCCATTTCCATTCGTCCAGCTTTCCTGTCTCCTTCTGCCTTCTTGTCCTTGCCCCTGAGTTGGTGTGCCTATTTAGTCTCATATACTTGGTTGAGCTATGTGTATTATTGTTTGTTTTATGGGCCTGTCTAATCTTTGGCTGAAGTGTAAACCTCAGGAGTGACTTCAGTACTAAGTTAAAAGAGTGTCCAGAGGCCATACTCCTGGGGTTTCTCCAGTCTCTGTCAGGCCAGTAAGTCTGGTCTTTTTTTGTGAGTTAGAATTTCATTCTACATTTTTCTCCAGCTCTGTCTGGGACCCTCTGTTGTGATCCCTGTCAGATCAGTCAGTGCTGGTAGCCACCATCTAGTTGTACTACACTCAGTCTGGTAGAGGCTGTGGTAGCTGTGGTCCATTAGTCCTTTGGACTAACCTTTCCCCGTGTCTTTGACTTTCTTCATTCTCCCTTGTTCCAGACAGGGTGGGACCAGTGGAGTATCTTAGATGGCCGCTCGCAGCCTTTTAAGACCCCAGACGCTACTCACCAAAGTAGGATGTAGAACATTTTCTTTATAAACTATATTAGCTAGGCATTTTATTTTGTAGGTATTTCTGACACAGCTCTGTTTTGGAAACCCTGGTGGTGTACTGGTTAAGTGCTACGGCTGCTAACCAAAAGGTCAGCAGTTCAAATCCATCAGGTACTCCTTGGAAACTCTGTGGCAAAGTTCTACTCTGTCCTATAGGGTTGCTATGAGTCAGAATCAACTCAACGGCAATGGGTTTGGTGTTTGGTTTTGGGGAGTCATGGAAGGTTTTTCAGCTAGGGAGTGACGCCATTGGAACTGTGCTTTAGAAGGATAACTGGGAAGGAAGTCAGAAATGAATTGCCAGAGGTTAGAGACCAAAGGTCAGGTAAATAATTAGAAGACTGCATTAATCCAGGTGAGAGAATGAGGGCCTGAACTAGGACTAAGGCTCTGCAAGTTGGAAGAAAGGAGATGGATTTGATCAAGATTATGGAACTAGAAAAAAGTTAAAGTATTTCACATGAATTTATAGGTTTGCAAGCAAATACTAGTCTATCCTTGATTGGAACACGTTGTGTCTAGTACTGAGACATTTCCAGTCTAGTGAGGGAGACAATATGTGAGAAGAAGGTGCAAGTGTGTGAAGAGAAGATGAAAAGCCAGGCATACTAAATAGTTCTAGGAAATAAGGCACAGAGTAGTCACCACGTGGAGTAAGCAGAGAGCTGGCATTGGGTTAGCTATGAATGATTCCATGAAATAGGTGATTAACTGGCTTTTGAAAATGAGGAGCAACTTTGTAGAGAGAAAGTGGGAACAGCCTCCAAAAGGGAGTTTATACATGCTTTTCTGTCAGAATAATTTGTTTACAAAGGAATTATTCAGATCCAGCTAAGGAATTTCCCATTCTATATACTATTTAGTCCAAAGATAGCAGTTTCAAAAGACAGCAGAGAAAGAGGAAAGTACGTAAAACAAAATATATCCCAAGGCTAAATTATGATTCCTTTGGAACTAGCGTATTTTGTTAGAATGCAGTATTCTCTTTAAAGTTAATGGCGACAAAGACAATGGGGATCTGGCCTGCACTAAAGAAGAAAAATTATGTAAGTTGACAAAACTCGAAGGGGCTGACACTGTCTTGCTGGTGCAATAAATCATTGTTAATGTTAAGGACAAATTCTTAGCTATAAATTAAAGAACTATGGTGAAAATAATAGTGGTTCTGGTGCTTTCTATTTACATTCATTCTGAATTTTTCATGATAGAATATCTTAAAAGAAATTTAAAATGCTTGCCACAGAATATATTGGAATGCTTTGATTCAGATATCAACATTCTATGACAAGCATTTTTATAACAAAGCATAAACATTTTTTTTAAAAAAAAAATATTGCTGCCAAGTAAGGCTATGACTATTTGGGTGTAATTCAATATGTTGCCTGCAAAACCAAATAAGGACATCTGGCAACAGATACTAGAACTGTGTTTTAATCCTTGTTCCATAATTAACAAGTGAAGTAAATTTTTTCATATCCTTCTACATACTTTGGTTTAACTTTACAGTGCAGTGGATCACTTATATATGGCCTTTGCTACCATGGTCTTGTAACTTCCACCCAAGTGATTGGGTGGGACTATGCAAATAAGGTAATTGTAGTCCACAAAGGGGATTGGATAGCTTGCTAATAATGCAAATAAAGTGCATGGCACCCATGTGGGGGTGGGACCATGCGAATAAGGTGTATGGAACCCTAACAAGAGGATTGGTCAGTTTTGCCATTCTGCTAGGCTTAATGAGCCAACCCAGAGGTAGAAAGGGGGGAACCCACCACCCCCAAGAAGAAGAGCTGGGAGCAGAGTGTGTCCTTTGACCCAGGGTCGCTACACCAAGAACCTCCTAGAGAGAGAGAGCTGTAACGCCGGAGACAGTGAGAAGCAGCGGCAGAGAAATGGTGGCAGCAGAGGCAGCAGAACCAGAAGACCTGCAGGAGATAGCGCCTTGGGCTTCCCTGTCCATGGAAAAAGAAAACTGAGCGCCTTCGGGCAGGATGCTTGCTGAAAGAGTAGAGTGCTTCTGGGCACTTACTGGCAGAGCTAAAAGCTTTGTAACACTTGCCCGAGCAGGGCAGAGGCTGGGCTGAGTGGCTGAGGGACAGAGAAAGGCCTGCCTGCAGGCACAGCTGAGAAGAGGCTGTCCTGATCTAAGAACTGTATTCTGAGTCATTTCCTGATCCTGAATTTTAACCTGCTACTTGGAAACCCTGGTGGTGTAGTGGTTAAGAGCTACAGCTGCTAACCAAAAGTTCGGCAGTTCGAATCCATCAGGCACTCCTTGGAAACCGTATGGGGCAGCTCTACCCTGTCCTATAGGGTCACTATGAGTCGGAATCAATTCAGTGGCAACAGGTTTGGTTTTTT